AAATAAAATTTTACTGTATTTCCAGTGAAAGTTTACACAGCCTGTTAAGTTTTCCTTTGCCAATTTCTATACAATTTGTTCAGTGACATTGGTTACATTATGGATTATTTTCCGTTCCAAAGAAACCTCAAAATAATAAAAAGAAATTAGAACAAACTGAGAATGAGGTAAAGGCATAACAAATAATAAGATGTTAAATTTTAACTTAACTGTATCTGTAATAATTCACTTTCTGATATACTCTGTGGACAGGGCTTTCCCATCCGTGGCCAGTGGTCTGACGGTATTCAATAGAGGCTTAGTCCCCATGGAGTCACTGCAAATAGATTTTGGGATTTCACTGTTATCCATAGCCTTCTGCAAACTGAGTGCTCTCAATTTAAGCTCTAATACATTTCCCTCCTCTGATCTTGAATTTTGTTATTTATAATCCTTGTTTCACACAAGTTGATTTGCTTTTTTGATGTGGGCTTAGCTGTCATTTCACTTTGACAGCTGCTTATTTTAAGACAATCTCGTAAGACCCCAGATGCTAAACTTTCTGATAGCTGCTGGGCATCATCTGATTTCTTCACCACACTTTCCTGTAGCACCCTTTATTTTCAGTGACCCCTTCATGAAACTATTTTGAGTCGGGGCTTGCACATAATTATCTCTTGAAAATTGTTATACCTCTTTTTATTGTTAATATTATTTATGAGTTCTCTTGTCATTTAAAATGCATAGGCTTAAAGATATAAAGATTTCTAACTTGAGTGGAAGGGAGATTAGGCTTAAATATTTATGACCACAGTCTCCCAACTTTAGTGTTATATAAAACTTCTATAGAAGCTATATTCTGTTTCAACATTGAGAGCTTGTCTGCATCATAAAATTCAGTTATTCAGTAATGTTTGTGATAATTAAGCGTCAATTTAAAATGTTTGATCTTCACAGATTGTGTAATTTATCACATAATACATGACTCTGAGGAATAGATTTCTTATTCAGTATTTTAGGCTGTTGTGTTTTCCATAAGCTTTAGCTTTGTCTTGCAGTCTCAAATTATTTTAATCAGAATTCAGGAAGATTACCTATCTAAGTTATTCCTGTCTGGATTAACAGAGCATCCTATATGGCTCTATAGCATGGTTATATCAACAGCATAATCATTTTAGTTTGTAACCATATTTATTCATTGGAGTTAGCACTATCTTTCAGCCACTGGAGATCAGGGATTGAACTTGTTTGCTCTTTATAACATATATTGTAATATTTATTTGGTGTTCAGAAAGTGGTGGTTGAATGAGGACCAGGGCAAAGTCATATGAATTCTAGAATATCAGACTAAGGTGAAAAAGAGACATATATAAACCATAGATGCACAAATGGATTTGGGACTTACACTTAATTCTAGTGCCAAGCTAATAACAATTAGTTTTATGACATGGCCCTGTTTGATGCTTGACCTCGTGAAGAGATCCCTGAAGTGATGCTATAGCAAAGTATAGTGAAGAAACTAGATAGTACCTTGCTATCAGAAAGAATAGTACATGGAGTTTTAAAGTGTTGTTTTCAAACAAGCAGCCATCTAAGTTCACATAAGCCAACTAAGTTCACATGGAAGAAGCACACCAACCTGTGGGACCCAAGGATTGTAAATAATATAATCCAAATCTGAAGGAAGGAATGGCATCGGAGCTTAAATTGTGAACACCTGGTTTGCAGAAGGTTATGGATGATGGTAGAAACCTAAAAATCCATTTGCAAGGTCCACACATGGGTTTAGCCTCAGGTGAATCCCCTCTGATCTTAGCAGAGGGATGTGCATAGCCCTGTTATCAGACAGAGAGCATTATAAAGTCGATTATGGCAGACATGGTTAGGTGAAAATGTAATATCTTATCATTTGATCTCAGTTTAGCCCCATTTAAAGCTGTTTCTGTTTAAAAACAAAAGAGGGAAAGGGAAATACATGTGGATTATGCCCATGGGGAATTCCCTCTGACCAGGGACCTGGGATGTGAATACCCTTGCTAACATGCAGAATTCATTGGAAAGTGGATTGTTGCAGATGCAATTAGGTTAAAATTTACCACCCTATCATTTGATCTTCTTTATGATCCATTTCAATTTTTTATAGTTTTCTTTTTAATTAAGGTTTTTATCTTTTACTGTGTTATTGTTGATTTTTGTTGTTGTTTGTTTTATTTTTAATGTTTTCCAGTATATGAATTCCAAGATAGGTAAATCTATAGAGATAGTAACTGGATTAATGGCTCCTTGCAGGTATGGCAGGGAAATGGGGAGTTTACAATGATGAGTATAAGAATGTTCTAAACCTGATTGTGGATAAGATTGAACAACTCTTGATGTGGTTGAACCATTGAGTTGTGTGATATGTGAATTATGTGTCAATAAAACTGTTGGGGAAAAGATTAAAAAAAAGGAATGTCAGAGATGCTCTCTCTGTCTTTAGATTTTGTGTATTCTCAAGGACAAAGGCACATAAAGGTCAAGTAACTTAGCTGTTGATCCCAAACTAAAAAGTGATAGGCTGGTTTATGAATCGAAGGAGACTGATCTAGAGCCCATACTCTTAACTAATTTGGTGTA